TGCGCGTCGTCCCTCCGCCCATCTGTCCCTCCGTGCATCTGCCCCGCCCTTCATCCCTCCCTCCATCCATCACCCCGGCCCTCCATCCCTTGCTCCATCCATTCATCCCTCTGTCCATCCGTCCGTCTGTCCCTCCATCCATCACTCCATCCATCCCTCAATCCTCCCATCCATTTATCTCTCCACCAGGTGCCCACCCGTCTGTTCCTCCATCCATCCATTTGTCCATCCCTCAATCCTTCCCCCGGGTCTCTCCATCTCTCTGTCCTTCCCCCAGGTTTGTCCGTCCATCCCTCCTTCCCTCCCTTTCCAAGCCCAATGGCCCGGCGAGAGCGATGCCAAGCCACTGGGCACCGAACCAGTCAGGAAAACCAGGCAAAGCATCCAGGGAGCCTTGGGATGGTTCCCACTCCAGCTGTCCCAATGCTGGAGAGAGGACAGATGGAAAACGGGGAAGCAACACCCAGGAGGGGGGATTAAATTGCACATTTTGGAATCGTCATGAAAAGTCAGGATCCTGGCCGGGAGCCAAAGGGAACACGGCTCCGGCTGCGCTCCCGGTGCCCTCCTCCCCACGCACCCCGGCCCTTCCCTGCCGGACGGGAATAACCACCCGCTTTGTTCCTGGCCCGGGCGGGAGGACGGGCCAGAAAGGGGGGGAAAAAAGAAGAAAAAAAGAAAACCAAAATGAAAGAAAGAAAGAGAGAAAGAAAAAAAAGAAGAGTGTCGCACTCCGGGAGTTTTCTGCCTGTTTCTCTGCATTAGGAATTCAGGTCTCATCTCCCCCTCCAGTCCTCAGAGGGGGACTAGGGAAATTATGTTATCCGAGGAGCCAGGGAAGAGGCCGGAGCCGAGCCCGGCTCCCCGCGGCGCCGCTCCCGTTCGCTAGCGGGTTTTCCCAAGCCGGGAAGTTGGGGTGCCCTAATTGCGGTGTTAAGGGATGCCCCGGAGCAGCGAAAGCGCCCGGTTGCTCCGCGTGCCGCTCGCCCGCGCGCGCCGGCGCCTCGGGAAGGGCGGGAAGCGCATCCTGCCTGGAGCCTTGTTGTGGGCGCGCGCCCTAATTGCGGCGCAGGGAAGCGGGTGTGTACGGGCAAACAGGGAAATTAACCCGGGTAATTGCTCCGTGGGATGCTGCGCCTCCCGCTAGCCCGCGGGCGCGCGCCCGGACTCCTGTGCCGGCTTCCGGAGTCGGGATCCGCAGAGGAAGGAGCGACATGAAGGAGGGTGCGGACGGGCTTCGGCCTCCGCCACCTCCCAGTGCTCGCGGCTTGGAGCGCATCGAATCCCACCGGGACACACTTCCTGCTCCTTCCCGGCTCCTGCTGCAGCAGAGCTGCCGGAGATCTTCCCCTCTGGGATCCCCCAGGACGGGTTGGACGCTCCTGGCTTTTCCGGAACAATTTCCGGCGGGAAAGAGAGCCCTCAGTCCTGCGGAGGAGTGCGCAAGGATGCGCCCAGCACACTTCGCGGATGCTTTTCATCTCCTAAGCGCTTTGCAAACATTAACTAATTAATCCTAATTAACTCATTACCTAATTACAAGCAAACGGCCCTCCCATTCAGTGGGAGGAGGGAAGGGATATTAAGGCACTGTCACTTTTTAACCAAACGTTCCTGGTGGTCCCTAAAGAGCTCTTCCAGCACCCACATGTCCCTGGTGGCTTTGCCACATGGCCCATGAGCCCCAACAATTCTTGACTTGCCCATGGCTGTGGATCCAGGATAAAAACCTGCTTTGCTGGAGGGTTTGTTTGAGGGATGTCAGATCAGAGGGGGAGCATCCATGGATCGCTCCCAGCCTCCGAGCAATGCCCCAGGAGCAAGGTAAGCAAAAATCCACCTGGAACCTCCCAAATCTGTGGCCCAGAGGCTGGTTTGGGGCAGCGCCGGCGGCTTCACCCTCGCATGCTCTCCTTACGAGCTCTGTGCTGCGGAGGAAAGAGAAGGAAAGGATGGGAAAAGCTCCCCACTGCCTCCTGCCTCTGGAGACACAGGAAAACGAGGAATGTGCTGCCATTTCCCGCACCGACAGGCCAAGCTTTTGTGCAGGAGCCGAGCGAGCAGGTGTAGCCGCCTGCTGAAATACCCGCAGAGGTGATTTATGGCGAGGGAGGCATCTCCGCTCTGCTCCGCGCGCTCCCCTGCCTTCCCTTCCTTTTAATTGTGGTTGGATCTACCCTGGGGGCAAAAGAGCCTTTGAAGGTCGGTCTTTCTTTCTTTCTTTCTTCCTTTCTGGTTGAACGGGAGATTTGCAGCCAGCTCCATTTCCTCTCGGCGTTTCCATCCATTGCGAGGCCTGGAGCGTTCAATAGTGTCACCCTGCGCGAGGGACATTCCTGGGAGACTCTGCCCTCCCTGCTCTGGAAGCTCCCCATGGATGGGGATGCTCGGGGGGGGACCGTGTCCCCTCTCCGTGCTGCACATCGCGGTTGGCTTCCCGATGGCCGGGAATCGCCAAAGGCGACGCTCAAAACCGCGGCGGTTTCACAATCACGGCGAAAACTTCC